TGGGGATGCTGTTGTTGCTGGGAGTGTCTCCTGCCTTTCCCAAGAGCCTCTCCCCACCGTGCTCTGTGCGAGCTCCTGCTGACGAGCGGCATCACTCTGCATGTTCCTGTCTCTGTTAAAACTGCAGTGCAACATAAAGGAAAACAAGTGGAATATCCCGGGCAGAGCGTGTGGTTTCTGTGGCACAAGGGTCTGGGATCCAGGCTGCGAGGGGGAAGGAAGGGGTGCCAGGGCTGCTGTGCCTGTGCTCCCTGCAGCTGCCTGTGAATTCCTCGTGCTCCCAGCTCTGGACTGAATCTCCCTCCCTCAGGAAGTGGCAGCGGGAGCCGTGTCTTGCTCAGGAGTGCTGCTGAGCCCCATTCCCAGCTGAAACCCCGGGGTGGCTGCTCCAGGCTCTGCTCCACAGAGCAGCGGTGACCACACCAGGAAGCCTCCCTTGCCCCGGGTCTCCTTCATGCCGAGCTGACAAGGAGAGTGTCAGGAATTCCTGGGCTCTATCCAAGATCCCTGCTGCTGTGGCTCTTCCCTCTGCCTTCCCCAAACATTTCCACCTCCTCTTCGAGGGATGGGCACAAACGGCTGAAAATCCTGTTTGGGCAAAGTCCGGCCTGGGGCAGCACCTGCCGTGGTGGGGTTGTGTTCTGAGCAGCAGAGCACTGTTTGCATGAAGTCTCTGTTTTACAGATTCTTGGGGTTAAAAAGCAGCCCCCACCCAGCAGAGCAGTGACCTTGAGGGTGAGCGAGGACCCAGATCGGGGCAGCTGCCTCTGCACTGCTCTGGGCTGGATCTTCCTGCCTGTTTGTATTACAGATCACCTGCACCCACCTGCCTCCCCCTGCACCCACTGCACCCACCTGCCTTCCCCTGCACCCACTGCACCCACCTGCCTTCCCCTGCACCCACTGCACCCACCTGCCTTCCCCTGCACCCACCTGCACCCACCTGCCTGCCTGTGCTGTAGGCCCGATAAAAGAGCAGCATCTCCTGCTTTCCTAAAAAAAGGTAAACTATGCTGGATTCGAAGGTTTTCGCCCCAGAATGAGCTACCTGCCTGTGTGCACGGAGCCCTGGTGTGTGGGGCAGGTGGGCTGGGAGCGCTGGGCTGCCCTCAGCTCTGTCACTGAAGCGCAGGGAGGCTGGGGAGAGGTTTTGGGAGGAAGGAGCGTCAGTGGGAGAGCGGGGCTGTGCCTGGCGCCCCGACCCCGAGCAGGAGGTGAACGGCCGGGCCGTGTTTGTGAACGTGGCTGATCCCAGAGCTGCCCCTGGACTTCGCCCCTCGGCCAGCGGAACAGAAGGTGTTTCACTGCCGGCCTTGTCCTCTGCAAACCCCCCGGCCACCGCTGTCCCCAGGCCAAAGGGAGCTGGGACCCAGCTTCCCCCGGGATAAACCCTGCGGGGTCCCGGCAGCTGCTCGAGGCTCAGGGAACGCAAAGCCCACCTCGGTCCGAGTCCCTGGAGACCACCAGTGTGGCCTTGTCGCTGAGCCCGCGGCTGGGCAGCACCAGGATCCGAACCGTGCACACACCCCGGGGCTGGACGGGGACAGCTCAGCGAGGTGCCTCCGGTGCTCCACACCGGGAGCTGCCGGGGGGCACCGGGAGCTGCCGGGGCACCGGGAGCTGCCGGGGGGCACCGGGAGCTGCCGGGGCACCGGGAGCTGCCGGGGCTCACCGGGAGCTGCCGGGGCACCGGGAGCTGCCGGGGCACCGGGAGCTGCCGTTTCGGTGCTGCCACCAGCCGGAGGACAGAGCTCGGAGCTCCTCACCTGCCCAGGGCCCCTCCCCAGCTCCTGGAAAAGCAAGGCCTGTGCAGGCACAGCAGGCTCTGCAGAGAGCTTCCTACGGGGTACAGTTTTCCCCAGTCATTTGGGCTTTTTCTTTAACAGCAACTCCTTAGTTATTGAATATTGCAGCTCAGAGCATGTGGGAAATATCCCAGACTCCAGGACTGCTTTGGGCAGAGTAATGGAACAGCAGAACCCCAAGGAAGGGAACAGGAACAGCGAGTATCGGATGTTACCGTGGCGTTTTAGGAGCCTCAGCTGCTCTGATACTGCAAGGGCCGGGCTGTGAGGAATCTGGGTCCATCCATCTGCTTCCTAATGTCTCAGCCACACTGAAATAAATAATTCAGCAGCTCAGGGATGGATGTGGAGAGGGATTTCTTTAACACTCCTGCAGAGCTCCTGAGCTGCCCTCACTCGATCCCTGGGCAGGGGAGAGCTCGGCTGGGCAGGACAGGGACCCCCCCGAGGGCACAGCACAGCAAGGAGCACAAAGTGGGAGTGTCTGGAGAGTCTCCTGGCAGAACCAAGCTCAATGAAACCAAACAATGTCTGCAGGAAAAGCCAGGTGCTGAGTCAGGCGCCCAGAAGGAAGTACCCGTGTGAGAGAACACCTCCACAGGTGTGTGGCCAGGTAAAGGCTCTTGCATCTGTGAGGTCTCCACTTGGGCAGCCCAGTCAGCTCACTCAGCAGAACACTCAGCACTAAGGCCCAGAGCAAAAACCACTCAGCAAGAGCCAAGACAGCTCCATCCACAGCAAACAACTTCCTGCAGACAAAAACCCCACGGACTCATCCCCTGTGTGGATGTGAGCAAGGAAACCCAGGCCCATGCAGCAAACTGGGAAGCTGCTGAACACAACTGGGCTGACAGTCCCCACCCAGCTGGTCTGAGGGCTCCAGACACAAAAACATCCCCAGAGCCCCTTCCCAGCCGAGAGAAGGCAGCATTTACCTGTTCATGGCTCTGAAATCCTCCCAGGAAACACGTCCTGGTCCTGTGCACCAGCGGGGAAACCCCCCAGGGCACCGGCCAGGAATGGAGCCCTGCAGGTTGTCCTGGGGTTTGCACTGAAACTGGGAAGTGCAGAACTGGTCCTTCAAGTCACAGGGTCAGGGGCTGGGCCACCCTCCATCCCCGAGCTGATCCTGCAGAGCAAACCCCGCATTTGCTGCCACGAGCTGGTGACATCACAGGGACAACCTGGGAATTCTCCCCCCAGGCTCAGCTTTTCCAGAGCTCAGTTCCAGCATCACTGCCCAGGGAAGCTCCAGGTTTCCCTGCATGACAGAAACACTTCCCCAGAGGCTCCTTCGTTTGTATCCAGACACCAGCCTGGCATTCAGGATCCCCCAGATGATCCAAACAGATGAAAATGTCTTGGTCCTTCTGGGACTGCAGGAATCAGCCACCCCCTGTCCAACCCCCGTGCCAGGATCCCCAAGCTGATGAAAACAGGAACGTAAAAGTCACAGCACAGTAAAGAGCACAACTTTTACTTTATAAAAAAGACCAAACCAGAACATTTATGGCCGACAAGTGCAAAAGAATCCCATAAGACACCACAGGTGAACCAGCTTCAGGGACCAGTTGACAGCCTTCCTCTCGGTGAGTTTCTGGGGGGCTTGGGGTTTTTTTGGCTAGTTTAATCCTCACACACTCAGTCTTCATAGCCAGATAGCCACTACAGAGGTGCATTTGCTCTGCACCAGTGACTGCAGCTCGCTGCAAGCCCAGCTCCCCTCCACAGCACAGCCCACGGAGCTGTGTCAGGGTGACCCGTGTGACACCTCAGCTCCCAGGAAACCTGTCCCAGTCACGACGTGCAAACCCATGAGAAGCACAAACCAAGCGGGGCCCTCAGGACGGGCAGCATTCGGAAGGAGGTGACCTCACACAGCTCCCCTGGGAGTCCCAGCCTGGCCTTGCTTCTTGTCTTTTCCTTGTATAAACTCGATTTCTCATAAACCAACACCTTTAAACACAAAGCAGGGAGGGGAAGCCAAATCCAAGGCTCAGTCTCTTCCCTTTATCTTTGAAATAGCTCTGTCAGTGTCTCCAGGTATGGTCTCAGTAATACCCCTGATTTCTGGAAGCACACTCTGCAAACAGCCCGTGGTTTACAGAAACAGGCTCTAACAGGGACTGAACTGTCCATTTCAAAGGGTTTTGGCCTTTTAAAGAAGCCTGAGAGCTCATGAGAGGAATTAAATCCTTCCTCCCTGCCCAAACCTCTGAAGAGCAATCGTAGGCTATAAAATAAAGGCACATTTCAGTTCAATTAAGGCACATTTCAATCCAACTGAGGCACATTCAAATCCATCGAAGGCACAAAACCATGGTCCACACCGCAGCCCGGGGCCTATCTGGGCTTTCCTCTCCCAAAATCCACTGGGTGTGTTTATGCTATGGCTGGTAAATTCAATTAAGCGTTTTCTGTTCATGTCCAAGGGCACCCAAAGCTCCAAACAAGCCCCATGGCTTGATGTGTTTACTTTGTGATAAACAACCAAGTGGCAACACCACAGATGCAGCTTCCTCCTGCTGCAGCCCTCCAGGTCAGCTGGCACTGAGCCCTCGGGATGGCAGTGCCCATCTCCTGGCTTCCACTGTCTGCAGAGAGCAGCAGGGAAGGACAAGGCGCCCAGGGGGAAAGGCAGGGACCAGCAGTGCCTCACAAACCCTCTGCTGAGCTCTCAGGAGCCTTTCCTTCTGAAGCAAACCGAGGCACTGAAGGGATTTTTCAGCAGAACAGTCCAACAGCCCACTTCTGAAGCACAGAAAGTCAGGAGTGGATCAGGTGCCCCCCTCACCTGCTCCAGGCTCTCCCAGGAAACACGGAGCGCTGGGCAGAGGGGTGAGGAGAGCTGCTGGCACACACAGGTCAGTGTGTGCTCCTGGGTGCCACCAGGCTGGCAGAGCTCAGAGCTCACCCCCACGGTCTGCTCACTCAGGGTCAGCCCAGCAGCCACCCAGCCCCCAGCACTGGCCCCGTCTCAGGACACGAGCAAGAGGCCACCAGTTAAATGAACCCCATAAACCTGAACCCTCTCCTCACGAGGCAGCAGGAGGTGACACCAAGGCTCGGCGGGGCAGATCTGCCTACTGAAAACACCACGGGTAGAAGACTTTGGGTTTGTGGGACCAACACAGGCACTTTGAATAGAGATTTGGGTCCCTAGAGAGCAGGATCTCGGCCTGCACCTCAACATCAGCACCAGCACAGAGACACCATACAGTTATTCCCTCTCCAAGTTCACTCAGGCAATGGCAGGAAGCAGAACTGTACAACAGGTCCTCAAAGCAGGGAAAGGGCTGAGCCACTGAGGCTGCTGGAGCTAAATGTGATTTACAGGAATCACAGAGGCACAAGTTCTCTGCTACTTCCTTGTCCATCTTCTCCTCCCTGGGCACACATTCCACCTCCCAAGTTCATTAGCTCTGCAGTTTGCTTCCTTGATTGTTCAAAAAACCCAAACTATCCAGTGAAATTCAGACAGCAGGACGAATCTGGCTTCAATAAGGATCAGGGTAGACTGGAAAAAAAAATCACCCATGGCACAGCACACTCCACATGGCAGGAGGATTGTGAGTGCAGCGAAGGTCTGGAATGCCTCCCTGCTGCTCGGGTCCTTTAACAGTACACCTGGAGCAGCGGTGCCCCGGACGAGTCAGTCTCTGTGTCCTGGAAAGAGGAATCTCTGCTGGTTGGAGAGCCTTGGGGAGGAGAGAGAAGAGAAGAGAAGAGATGGTGCCATTAGCCCAGGGGAAGCACAGCGGCCTGGCAGTGGGGAAGCAGCTGCCACAAAAGGCTTTGTGTACCATGAGGGAGGAGAAAGCCACACAAAGCCGTGGCAGGGAACAGCCCTGCCTGCACTGCAGCCATCTCCCAGGACAGAGCTGCTGTGCAGGAGGAAACTTGTCCTGTAGCCCTGGGTGCTCTTTGGGAGGACAGAGCTCGGGGCAGCCCGTCACTCTTGCCTGCTTCCCTTTTGCACAGTTCCTGTTGTTCCCAGTCTCACCCAGCTGTGACCTCTGGCAGTCACACCCCACATTCAGCCCCAAACTTTGTCAAGGTACAGAGAGACCGAAAGCTCTCAGGGCAGGTGCTGTGCAAGGACAGGGAACGTGCCACTCTTGGATTTCCCCCCTTTTCAGAAAGGCTCACCAACCCGGGGAGCGTCCGAGCTCCATCGCTCCCAAAGCCCAGGAGAGCTGAGGGGAACCCGAGGAGCAGGGTCAGCCCAGCCTTTGTGGAGGGTGAGGACAGGGGGGAGGGCAGGCCCAGGGCTCCCCTGTGCAGCCACGCCCGGCCAGGTGCGTTACCTGCGCTGCTGTGCCGCCTCATGTTCCTGGCCAGCACATCCGCCGGGGTCTCCTCCGATATCTGCACGGCCAGCTCTGCAAGGACACCAGAGTCAGCAAAGGATGATGCACGGCGTGACTCAGCACTGAGGAGCCCTGCCAGGGAACACCCTCAGGGAACGGGACAGGCAGAGTCTGAGTCTTCCCACTGCTTCCGCCAGTGGCCGGATTGAGCTGCGTGTCCTTAAATCCCAGGAGCAGCCTCTCTGCTAATCTGGGAAGCACAACACCCACACGGTTTCCTCTGCTACTTCTGGATACCTCCTTGCTCCCACACTCAGCTTTTCAAGGCTTTTCTACAACAAACCCTGTTATGACCTGCTCTGGAGCTCAGACACTTGAGGCTGCTCCCACAAGGAGGAAGAAGCATCAGCACCAGTGCTGGGAACAGCCCTTCCCTCCTCTTTGCAGGGATATTCACTGTGTGGAGCAGGTCTGGGCTCTGAGGACACACTGCCACTGGAGTCTAAGGGTGGCATTAGCCAGGCAGTACACGGGAGAGAGCCAGCTGAGTAACTGGACATCCTCGGGCACGAGCAGCTCGTCTGGTCCTACCAGTTCAGTTTGACTCACCGTTCCTCTGCCTCCCTTAGATGAGCACAGGCAGCAGCAGCAGCACAAACCCATCTATTGCTCAGCACAAACCTCACGGGCAAGGAAAGACAGGCTCAAGAAAGCCACAGCACAGGGAGGAGGGTGAGAAGCACAGCTCTGCACTCACACACCCCAGTGGAACAAGCCCACTGGGGACAGATGGGCTCCCAGCCCCGCTGCAGTGCCACATCTCTGCAGCTTTGGTGACACAACCCTCTGGCAGCACCCAGGGACCCCCAGGGACCCACAAGGACACCCACGGACCCCCAGGGACCCTCAGGGACACCCAGGGACCCCCAGGGACCCTCAGGGACCCCCCAGGGACCCCCGTACCGTCCTGGCTGATGACCATGGACTCCAGCATCGTCTCGTTGCCGCTGTCGGGCGCGTTGCCCCGGCCGCACTTCTCCTCGTGGCTCTGGCTGGGGATGGGGATGTGGGGCCGGACCCGGCTCTTGCGGGTGCTGATGCGGATGATGCCTCGGACCAGCCGGCACTCGGCATCCTGCTCGTCCAGGTTGTAGTCCTGAGTTATGCTGTTGATGAGGTCCGAGATCTTGTTGGTCTTCTCCAGGAAGACGGTGTCCGAGGTGCACTTGGCCAGCTCGTCGATCTGGTGGACGCTGAAGAGCTCCGTGAGCTTCTTGAAGATCAGCACGTCGATCTGCCTGCTGGACATGGAGCCGTTCAGCTCGCTGATGTCCACGTCGGACTCGTGGAAGGAATAGTACTCCTCCGAGCTCCGGTGGCTGCTGGGCAGCGGTGGCTTTTCTATGCTGTTCCTGAAGGGCTTCTCCAGCAGCTCCTTGCAGCAGGAATCCGATTCCAGGTGGTGGTTGGTGTTCCTGTTTGGATAGACAGGGATGCCCTTCAGCTTCACGTCTGGGTAACTGAAACTGCTGCCCATGCTGGACTTTTTGATCTGGTTCCCGTTCTTCTCAGCAGGAGAGGTGTTGGTGGGGCTGTTTGGCAGCCGCCCGTTGTAGTCTCCGTTCTTCCCATCCTCTGCGGAGGTCTCGGCGGGCCCCGGATAGGGAATGCAGACACTGCAGTCCTGGAAGCAGCCCCCACACGTCACTATGCAACAGAAAACCGCCTTGTACGTGTTCCAGGCCTGAGACAGCGAGGAGCAGCAGAAGCTCTGGTCCGGGGGAGCCTCTGCTGTCCCCGAGATGAAGGTGACGGTCTCTGCCTCGCGGCCGTTGGGGTCTTTGCGCCCTTTCCTGTCCCGCGGCTGCGGGGCCCGGCCGTGGCTGCCTTTGATCTCGGGCGTGGAGCCGCTGAACACGTCCAGGCTGACGTCCGCGGGCGCCCGCAGGGGCACGGCCTCCGGGCAGGGCTGCCGCCGGGCACCGCTCGGCTCGGGCGGCGCGCGGCTCCTCCGGCCCAGCATGGCTCGGCACCTGCGGGACACGGGGGTCAAACCGGAGCCACCCGCCGCCGGCACCCCACCTGGGCCAGCGGGCCGTCAGCACAGGGGTCTGACAGCCAGAGAGCCCCCAAGCCAATACCGCAATGATTTTCGGGAATATTTCGCGTCAGGACTCGCGCTGCTCTCGCTCAGGGCCCGCCACCGGGGCTCTCCCACCACCCAAGCCTTGCTGCTTCCTTTGGGTCAATGCTCTCATCAGAAGAGAGGTGCTTGAAAAGGGCTATTTTCAGACATCAAAACCCCTGTAACCTTCAGAAGAGTTTCCTCCACGCAGCTGGAAGGAGTCAGCTCCAGAGCAGCCAGGAGCAGCACAGCTGGAGGTGGAGCCACTGCCAGGCTCCAAAGGGAAAGTATCTTTTTTTTAAACAACTTCCCTTTGTCTCGCATTCCTCGGGATTAGGCCGGGCCCTGACAGCACTTATCCATTTCAAAACACATCGTGCCCAGGAGGAGATGACAAGCAATCCATCATTATGCAAGCTGCCAATTCCAGCTCCACGTTATTTGCTGCTATTTCAATTTAGAGGATTTAGCAATGACAGCATTACCAACACTAATGATTTCTGCCAGTCATGCTAAGGTCAGGCGATGGCAAAGACTTCCCTATGAAAACCTGATGTCTTCATCTGGATTAAGGAAAAGACCGTGTCAACAAGTCGGTCTCAAACCGCCCCTGATGGGAACAAAACCTTGACAAACCCTAGAGAAGCAGAAACCCCAGAGCAGCCCGTGCTCAGCTGTGCCAGCACAGCCCCTCCAGGGCTGCAGCAGGAGGGACCTGTCACGTTCCCTCTGCACAGAGCCAGCCTTCACACTCCGGCACGTTCATTTGCCCTGGTTTTAATCTTTCTGTCATTAAAGCTCAGCACGGGGTGATGTGAGGAAAGTCAGGTCAGGGCTGCCACTCTCCACTTCTGCTGCTCTGCCTTTATCCCACGCTGTGGTGGGTCCCAGAATTCTCCGTGGTTTCCAGGCTCCTTGGCTAAAGCTGCTTGCACCTCCAAGAGATCCTTTTAAATACTAATTAGGGTAATTAATAAGCAGTGAGAGCCCAGCCATAGTGTAAGTGTTGTAGGGCTGCCCTGGTTGTTTTACTATGGACTTTCTATAGGGCACTTCAAGCATGAATAAATAAATCTGTCAGACCTTGTTAGAGCACTGCCTCTTTTTCCCTGGTTTTTAAACCAATAGTCACATTTTCCCCACAAAGAAACAGGCCCAGACTGAAAGCCAGGCTGTTACAGCACACCACTGCTTTCCAGGAATATTTTGGCTCTGTTACCTTATGAGAATTCATCCCAGGAGCTCCCTTTGCACATTCCTGGGCAATATGCAAAATAAAAAGCCCCAGATGCTCCAATTTCAGGGCAGAGCAGGCAGAGCTCCCTCACCTCAGCATCACTGCAGAGTTTTGATTGCTTTCTCTTCAGAACAAGTCAGGGGTTTTTCCCCTCAACTTCCTCAGTTTTGCAATGCAGTTCAAAATTTAAAAACAGACTGAAAAAAACATGAAGTGAAATGAAAACATTTGAGCTGAACTGGGAACTGCCTACTGGGATGTTTCTTTTCATTCCAAGGCCTCACGGAGAGACCCAACATCTGCATTGCCCAGCAACACTCCTTGATGCAACAACAGAGAATATTCTGACATTTCAGAGCATCTGGGACAGAGAGAGGAGCGTGATCTCAGCTCTAAGGAAAGACCTGCAGGCACAGGTGCCAGAGACACCCCTGGGCTGCCCCATTCCCATCACAGCTCACGCTTCTGGGACCTCTGTGCTCCTCAGGAGCACAGACAGGACACAGCTCCTCGATCCAGCAGCTTCCCCATCACAGGAACGGGCTGGACCAAAACCCCCAGCCATAAATCAATGCTCAGAGCAAAATCCACACCCCAGTGTTACTCACACGATGGCTGGGAGCTTCCTCTGCTCTCACACAGGCACCGTGAGTGACTGCAGATCCCTCTGGAGAGCCTCAGCATCTGCTCCAGAGGAGCCAGGAAGGATCCACAGAGGGTTTGCAGGACTCAGAGTTAGCCAGGGTCCAAGATCTTCATTGTTCAGAGGGCGGGATTTCCTTGGAAAGCGTTAAAGAAGCTCAGTTAAGTTGTGAATCTCCTGAAGACCATCACACCCATCTGACAACAACCACGCTGCCGGTGCTGCTGGCAGCTAGAGAATGGCTCCTAGGTTCAGCAGACAGGATTTACACACAGCTTCTCTGAACTCTGAGGAAGCATCCACAGTGGGGAAGTGTCCTGACTGCCCTGCCAGGAGGTGGAAGTCACCTGCTAAGCTGCTGCTCCCCAGTGCTCTGCTGGCAGCGGAAGGGAGGGAGATCCCAGCCCAGGGTAAATGTGGGTCCAGCACTGTCCCCGAGCGTCCCTGGGGAGCCAGCACCCCCTCCCAGCTCTCTGGGGTATGAAGAACCCGCCCGAGGAACTGCCTCTCGCCAAACCCTCCTGGGCCCTGGCCCCAAACCCCCACCCCGCTCCAGCTGGCAGCCAGGGCTCCACCACGGGGCAGGCAAACAGGGTTTGACCCTTTTCCCTCCCAAAGGAAAGGGAAGGGAAAGGGGAGGCCCACCTGGGCCCCAAAGGGAGCTCCCGCTGCCTACCTCGGGCCCCGCCATCCCGCAGGCGGGGGAGTTTTGGGGAGAGGAGGAGCCGGCAGCAGCAGCAGCAGCAGCAGCAGCCCCGTCCCCGCCTGCCCTGCTCGGCACAGCTCCCACCGCTGCCCCGGGAACCAGAGCCGAGCCCAGCAGCGAGCAGGGACACCCAAAACCCCAGCAGAGCTGCGGCCCCACCGGCCCTGCCCAGCGCCACGGCGGGGAAGGTCCCGGAGCAGCGGGAAGGGACAGCCGGGGGACACGGGGGACAGCCGGGGGACAGCCGGGGGGACACGGGGGACAGCCGGGGGACACGGGGGGACACGGGGGACAGCCGGGGAGACACGGGGCGCCTGGCGAGGGCAGCCCCGAGGGGATCCCGGTGTGGGGGTGACGGACCTGCCCTCCCTCCCTCCCTCCCTGCCGGCCGCGGCCTGCGGCTGCCCCCGGGCCGGGCCGCGAAGCGCCGAGCGGCGGTGGCGGGCCCGGGCCGGTGCCGGTGGCGGTGGCGGGCCCGGGCCGGGGCAGATGCCGGTGCCGGTGGCGGTGCCGGTGGCGGTGCCGGTGCCGTGCCGTGCCGGTGCCGTGCCGTGCCGGGCCGGGCCGGGCCGGGCCCGGCTCTCGTTACCTGCCAGCCGGGAGCGCGTCCGGCCCCGCCTCACCTGCGCCAGGTGCGCCACGTGACCCGGACGGGCCGCGCCGAGGGACAGCAGAGCGCGGGCGGAGCGGCGCGGGGCGGGCGGGACAAAGCGGG